CCCACCCCCCTACTCCCCCCTCCCCCTGCCCAGTTTTCCTCCTGAGCTGCATTTTCATAAAAGCAGCAGGAAAGGACCAAGAATAGTCTATGGTGCAGGTACCAGGAGCGCTTGTTAGAAATGCAGAATCTCCGGCCCCATTCCAGGCCTACAGAATCAGAATCTGCATTTTAAAACCCAGGTGGTTTGTGTATATATTAGAATTCGAGAAGCTCTGCTCTGGGGGAGTATTTTTTTTTTTTTAAATGCAGGTGGGGCACTTTGAAGTCTAGTGCTGAAACAGGAGACTTTCTGGAGGTATTAGGCATTTTCACAGATTTTCTCAATATCCTCCAGGGCCTTAACAGCTTTTTATTTGGAATTACCCAGGCGATGAGCTGGTGTTGCCTCTCCTGGGGTTATGGAGGGCTACAGAAGAGGCCAGAATGCCACTTCCAGTTATTGTTGCTAAGGGAGCTCTTGCATAGAAACTTCCACCTCAGCCTTCCCGGAAAGCTGGTCTCATACAGGTTACAATGTGAGATATCAGCAGAAATCAAGCTTTTAAAAAAGTATCAAATTTGTCTGTAATGGAAAAAAAGAAGAAAAGGCACTGGGATAAGTATTCAAAAACAGAACCACTTATGCCTAATAATATCTTAACAGTTCTCAAAGCACATTTAACAGGCTCTCCTCCAACATTTGCAGAGCCTGGGGCAAGAGTACAAATGGAGGCCCACATATCACTGTTCAATCAAATACATTTTAAAATAAATTTTATTTTATATATTTATATATACCTTAATTATATATTTTAATATATCCTGTCCTCCTAACTTGACAAATGTACCCTCTAACAACAAAATTTAAAAATATATAAAACTATGGTTTTTATATGACTGAAGATCAGAAAATATCAAAGATGACTAAATTGAGTTATTGTCCATATCTGAGTATTGTTGGGACAGTGATACGTGAGTCATAGATATATACATAATCTATAAGTCAGTCCATAAAATATATTTTTTCTTGCCTTCATGTCAGCAAAATTGCTATGTTGTTGTAATTGAGGTTTTCACATAATTCGAGCTCTGTTGAGAGCAGTGATCTAAAATAAATGTGTTCTAAGTAAAAGGTAATCGTGTTCAAAATTTGAGTATATTTGCCTCATGAATGAGAAGAAACAGAAAAGTAAGAACATTGATGTTTGGTACTACTGTACATGATACTTCATTATGTAAGAATCTACAGCACTCGTGCCACGGGGAGAAAGGGTTTGACAAGTTAATTAATTTGTCTTTTCTTTTACCTAAGCACTGCCATTGCCCAAATCCTTCCTGCACTCTGAAGCAGTGTGTCTCCCGGATGCCAGCCATGGCACAGCCCACGAACTGACATAGCATTCAGATGCTGTCACCTTTTCTCTTGAAGACATAGACCAAGAGATGTGGAGTATTTCCTGGGCCTGAACAGCGTTAAGAGAATAGATGTTTAGGGCTACCTTGAGCCCTGCCAGCACTGAGCTCTGGATCACAAGTGACTGAGGCTCTCAGGTGTTCTTTAACACATGTGTTTATGGGAGGGAGGGTTGTAATATGTGGAGCCCTCAAAAGTGAGGGCCTGGACCAGGGGCCGCAAGGAAACTTTCTATGGGGATGGAAATGTTGCATATCTTGATCTGTTTGATGGTTCCATCAGTGTATATGTTTGTCAAAATTCATCAAGCTGTTCACTTAAGATTTGTGCATTTGTGCATGTGAATTATACTTCAATAAAGGGCTGTTAGCATAAAGGATAAAGGCTACCAGAGCATACTTTTCTGTATATAAATTAAAGGGGTAACCACATGTGAATCCATCATTTTAACAGGACTATTTCATATATTCTTTTCTCATATGCCCGTGTGCATATGCACAAACACACACATGCTTTCTCTCTTCTTTCTTTTTTTAAAAACTGGCTGCATTCTCACCATACATATGATTTTTGTGTCCTTGACATTATATGTTAAATCTTTTTCTATGAATGTGGTCTTCATAATTATATTATTGCTTCCATTTCTTTACTCTTATAAATAATATTACAGCCTACATTGCTATATATGATGGTTTTATTTTATTATATTCTTATAATACATTTTAAGTATAGGATGAATGGGTAAAAAAATATGAAGATTTTAATTACTGTCTGTACTGTGGGGCTTTGGAGTTCAGAACAAGCTGGGTTCAAGTTTTGGTTCTGCTTGACCTTGGACAAGCTGCTTCAAATCTAGTTCAGTATTGTCCTTAGAGTTGTTTGAAAATTAAATGAGATAAATGTATATTATGTTTGGTATAGACTCCACCACATAAGTGCTCAGTACTCACTGGGTAGAATATTCTGGGCCGGCCCGGTTGCACACTGCGATAGTGCGCCGCTTGGGAAGCGCGGCGGCGCTCCCGCCGAGGGTTCGGATCCCACATACAGACCGGTTCCCACTCACTGGCTGAGCGAGGCGCGGGAGCAACACCG